AGGGAGGGAGGGAGGGAGGGAGGGCAGAAATGTATTGGTTTCTTGCGTACCAAAAAGCAAAGGCTGGGCATTTAGATAGGTCATACATAGAATGTTGATTAAAGATAATGTGAACATGTCCAAACTAGATTCAGGGATGAATCACTGTATAACTGATTAAGGAGGCAAAATCACAAGACTGCAAATGGAGGTAGCATTCAATGTGTGAAAACACTACAGTCCTATTTCTTGAAATATACCACAGTACTCTCTTACATATGAGAAAGGCCAAGATTATAACTGTTAGCTTAACAAGTTGACCCTATACTTAAAAGGGGAATGAGGACAGGTAAGGAAGTAGTAACTACAGCTCTGAATCTGCTACATCTCACGAAAGGCATAATTTCTGTATATACCTCTAAAGCTATAAAGAATCATTTTCTGTTATTTTCCTCAGCTACGGAGAGCTGCTATTTCAGGGTCAAGAAGCCAGGTGAAACTTCATTTGTATTTTGAGATGTTCTTACAGTACGTCCGTGAGGATTTTCCCCCCTAATCTTTATTTTTAGTTCGTCAAAAGTTGGTGTTCTGCCAACTTGGCTGCTACCTCCTACTTTGTGTGACTAATCCACATTTGGAAAACAACTTTGTTGTTAGAATAGCTAATGTAGTTCATAGACTATCAGCTAGTCCTCATCAAACATTTGTTAGAACTCAGAAAAGGTGTAAGTCAGTAGCTATTTAATTATAACTGCCTAGATAAAAACAATTTCACATTTGGAGATCTAAAAAAGGAAAAAAATGAAGTAGTGTGCTTACATATAATTTATATTTAATATGTGACATATGTTTTTATAAAATTATTTGTTCCTTCTGAAACTTTATTTCTGTCAATTTTCTTGCCATAATTGAGGGAGAAAATTTCTGTCTTTGTTTTTTAAACTTTAGGTCTTATATTGGATGGATGATTCCAAAGACTCAACAACTGGGAAAATAAGAGTCAATGGCAATGTAACAGCAAAAAACATTACGAGTCTTAAGGCCAATACCATGTACTTTGCCACAGTGAGGGGTTACAACACAGCTGGAACTGGTCCATCCAGTGTTCCAGTAAATGTAACTACAAAAAAACCACGTGAGTATTTTCAATTACTAATGAATGAAAAGCACAAGTGCATTTGCCTCACAATAAATGCAGAACCTTGCCATCTAGTATAACAACAAGCAAAACATTACTTGAAAAGCAAGCTATAACATGGATTCCTAGTTACCATAAATGATTAAAATCAAAAGTAGCTTCTTTTCTTCCGGATAATACTTGCACTTCTTTAATTATCAAATATATTTTCTGTTGGTCAATTTTTTTTTTTGAATAAAGCCTTCCTGTCTGTTCATGTGTGTCTTAGGCATCTATTTCCTAAGCACAGTATAGCAAGGAGAGTATAGCAAGGAGAGTAAATGTGTATCCCTGGGGAAGGTCAAATTATGAAACTAACAGTGTAAGCTATACTCATTTTTATATTTATATTATGACGTTGCACAGATGAGAGAGGGAGGGAGGGAGGGAGGGAGGGAGGGAAAGAAAAGTCTGCGTCATAAAGCTCATTTCTTCATTGTGACCAAAATCATTCGATTCTGTAGATGCTTTGGTTGCACATTTTCTGATTCACATAAAACAAAATAAATCAATATCCTAGTGTTTATATTCACACTTAGTTTTGTGCACTGCATAATTTGGAAATAGAAATAACAATTGTAAACAAATGCTTTTTCAAAAAAAAAGGAAATAGTCATTTTGCCATATTGAAGGCTTGATCACATTTACAGCTGGCATTTCTAGCAACCTTGAGTTTAAAAGTGTGTTTCCAATGTTTGAAATTTCAGCATCCAACAATAATAAGATAAAGAAAAAGAAAAAGAAGCAGAGCTTTGGCCTATGGGCATACACTTATTTTATTATTGATAAACAGGGGAAAATGACTGTTGCTATTTCATTATAAGCAAGTATAAGAAATTCACCATCTATGAAGGAATTAGGTGTGTTTAAATGCATTCATTTCAGCTGGCTTTGGGGCATTATTTGCCAGGCTCTTTTAAAGCATTAATGAATTCTTGGTTTTCACTGGCATAACATAAGCCTTCAAAATGTTTTACCTTGGGTAGGATGGCTCTTCATCATTCAAGGCTGGTACAAAAAAGGAAGGGTTTTTTTCTGCTTGATAAGCAGCTAGCAGCTATGGCCAGGAAGACCTACACACAGGTTTATCTGGTGTACCACTTGAACCCTTTCCTGGATCAGAGGGCTATTTAGACAGGCAGGCAGTCATTATTTCAAGGTTTGACTCCTGCCACTTGCTGTACATGGGGCTGCCCTTGAAGACATCGAGAAGATTCAACAGGTCCAGGATGCAGCATTATGCCAGTGATGGAGATGTTTTAATATGCTCATGCTCATGTAGCAAACTACATTGGTTATCAGTTTGCTTCAGGGTGTAGTTCAATAACAATAGCAATAGCTATTTATGGCCACAGTGATGGTTCAGTAATGCTTAAAGTTGCTGTAGCAATAGCAATAGCACTTAGACTTATCTACTGATTTACAATTCTTTACAGCCCTCTCTAAGCGGTTCACAGAGTCAGCATATTGGCCCCAACAATCTGGGTCCTCATTTCACCCACCTTGGAAGGATGGAAGGCTGAGTCAACCTTGAGCCTGGTGGGATCTGAACTGCCAAATTGGAGGCAGGCAGAAGAAGTAGCCTGCAGTACTGCACTTTAACCACTGTGCCATCGAGGGTCTAGATTCAAGATGTTGTTTGCTGCTGATAAAGCCATACATAGGTCCTAGTTAACTGAGTGACCACCTGTCTCCAATAGCATTTGCTTGGCAACTTAGCTCTTGTGGGATTGGTATTCTTTCTATTAAGCAATGTCATCTTTTGAGACACCAGAAATGCATCTTCTCTGCAACACTGTCTACCCTCTGTAGTGAGATTCTCCCTGCAATTGAAATATACCCTCTCTCTACTAGTTTTGAGTGGCCCTGAAGACATGGCTTTTTACCCAATCCTTTGGTGATAATGATTGATGCTTTACTTCTTTGTTCCCAACTGGATTTATCTTTTCTGCTATCTTTGCTTCTTTTGTTCTTCGTTGGTTTTTTTGTGTGTGTCTTCATTCTCAAATGTTTTAAACAATTTGTAGCGTGCCCAAAATCACTAGGTGTTGGGAAGCAAATTTATTGTTTTAATTTATTGAAAAATATGAAATTACAGCTGCCAATTCTTTAGTTGGTGTTGGCCTTAATATGCACTGAGTTCTTCCCAAGAGCCTGGATGTCACAATATATTGGAATAGTATATATGTGGATCCAAACAGTGTGGATTTTTGTAATCAATAGGTGGAAATGTTATGAATGTCCATTTTTTTTGTATGATACTCAGTCTGTCTTTATGCATTTTATGAATGTCCAATTTTTTGGGGGGGATATGATACCTAGTGCACCTGTAATCATCACAACTGCCATAATCTTTCAATTTTGATTTTCAAATCTTGTTACTTTATTTTCCCCTCCAATTCTTTATCCTCTAACAATCTCCTGGTATTGTAACATCAATCAGCCACAGTTACATTTGATGGGTTATAAGCCAAGACTTTATCAGTTTGTATTTAGAAATTCGACAATGTTTTAACCTTGTCATTTTCAATTATTATATCTATATTCACACCAATTTATACTTGCTGACTCATGATATTTTTTGAAGATGTTCTACTGAATCATTTTAGTGACTATGTCATGTGATATTCCTAAGCAGTATATGATATACTGCTTCTTCTGGTTCTTTGAAAAATCTGTACCTTGAATCATTTGATCATTTTTTAAAAGTCTAGCCTTAAGTGCATTAGTTTGAGTAGGTAGCTGTTTTTTTAATGTTCCAATTGCAAGTCACTGCTAGGTTTTATCTTTATCCACTTTCTTCTGGATCTTTTGCAGAAATCAACCATGTAATGAATTTCCTTGCCAAAAATTCCATTCTTGTGTTTATTACACTATTTCAATATTCACATTTGGTTTCCAGCACATATAGTGAGTTCAAATTTTTCACTTGCATCAATGTTTGTTCTTGGCTGTCTGTCACATATTCAGCCAATGCATGTTTTTCTTCTTCTACTGTTTGCTTCACTTGTAATAATCCTCTGCCACCTGATTTTCGGGGCAGATATAGTCTATCAATATCACTACATGAATGTAATTCACAATGAATAGTCATCATTTTTTTTTGTTTTTTGGCCCAATATTCAGTTCAGCTTGCATCCAGTTAATAATATACTTTCCTGAAAAGGGGGCTAGAAAGAGACTCAGGCTGGTCTATCCATTGATCTATAACTGGGATATGAAAGGGAGGAGAAGCAGAGGTGTATAGTTCTATTCATTCTATTATTTCCTGATAAGAATATCAAAGGGCTTGAAAGTACTCAAAGCTTTCATGTCTAACAAAAACCACATTGAAATTGGACTGGGATATTTTGTGAACAATTTAAACATAAGAAACCTAAAAACAGGAAGATCCAAGTTTTATAATGCCAACATTTCCATAGTCAGTTTACCCCCTTGATTCAGTATAATTGGACACACATGAAAGCTGGAATGGTGTTTAAATGGTGTTTACAATTCTCTGTGGTGTGGGAAAGTGTTCTTTCCATTTATCTTGCATTAAGTTGATAGGCTACTGTTAATCTTGTCCATGCATGGTCTTCTTTAGATTAAGAGATTGGCCCCCAATAAATATACTTACACTCACTGGAATGTCACTTTCCCCTTTTTTGTTTTGACTGTTTTTCTTTTTAGGTTACGTATAGAGACATGGCCTCTAATGCAAAGGTAAAGGGTACTTTGTGGTTTGCTTTTTTAATGCATGCTGGGTTCTTATAAACATTTTTCAATTTAGTGCACATCAAAAAGAAAGTGAGGTAAAGATTATAAATTGAAGCAAACCTTTGCTGTTCAGCAGTAACTACCCAATATTTTTAAACAACAGAAGCATCCTTATGTCTGAAATATTCTACACAGAATCCTTCACTAAGATAATCCTGTTTTGCATATCAAGTTTCAATTTATGTATATTGCTATCTATCTATCTATCTATCGATCGATCGATAGATAGCTAGATAGATAGATATAGATATATACATACATATCGATAAATAAATAAAGGGAGACTAGTATAGATCTATTTCAAGCTATTTAGCTCTCATCAGCTAGCCATACCCTTACTGGGATTCGAACGTTTGGGCTACGACGTTTGCCTAAGATGCAATACAGCACAGGTTCGAATCCCAGTAAGGGTATGGCTAGCTGAATAGCTTGAAATAGATCTATACTAGTCTCCCTTTATTTATTTATTTATCAGCACAAATAAAAAAACACAAATATAACAAAGGCAACAGTAAAAATATTGGGTTTCTGTCGTGATGGACTCTTGTGACGAGCCGATTGACAGATGATGGAAGCAGTTAGCTTCCTCCCATAATTGGGGCTTACCAGGGGTTGTAAAAATCTAATATATATATATATATATATATATATATATATATATATATATATACCTACATAATCAGGCTAAAAGCATTTGGTTTAAATTTTTTATGATAATACAGCAGCTGGCCACGTTTTGTGTGTGTGTGTGTGTGTGTGTTTTTGTATGTGTATATATATATATATATATTAGATTTTTACAACCCCTTGTAAGCCCCAATTATGGGAGGAAGCTAACTGCTTCCATCATCTGTCAATCGGCTCGTCACAAGAGTCCATCACGACAGAAACCCAATATTTTTACTGTTGCCTTTGTTATATTTGTGTTTTTTTATTTGTGCTGATAAATAAATAAATAAAGGGAGACTAGTATAGATCTATTTCAAGCTATTTCAGCTAGCCATACCCTTACTGGGATTCGAACCTGTGC